CAGAGTGAAGGCCATTTTTGTTACAGAAATTCCTGAAAAGCAATGACTTTCCCACTATTGATTCTTTTGTACCTACACTCCTAAATGTATTTCTCTCTGGTTATTAGCTGTTACAGAAAGAATACTGTAGCATATTAACATATTTCCCTCATTAAGCACATGATGAGCTACAACTCTGACTGCATTTTTAATTGCTTTCCTAAATGACTGAGGGAGGCAGAACCTTTCCTCAAAATTTAACTCCTGATGTGATGTTACAATGATCATTTCATTATTAGCTCGTGTTTTTATACATGTATCTGTTCTCCTCCTCAGGTCGGGGGAATTAAAGACAAAGTGCTGGCAGCACACCGGGCTGGCCTGAAGAGGATCATCCTTCCCCAGAGGAACGAGAAGGACCTGGAGGAGATCGCGGCGCCCGTGCGGCAGGAGCTGAGCTTCGTGCTGGCCGCCTGCCTGGACGAGGTGCTCAACGCTGCCTTCGACGGCGGCTTCGCGGCCAAGGCCAGCCTGGAGCACCTCAACAGCAAACTGTAGGCAGGCAGGCAGGCAGCCTGAGCTTGCTTCTCTCTGCAGTCCCATAGTTCTTGATCTCTTTCAGCTACATTTAGGTATCAGGTACCACTATGAGCTAAATGGGTTTGAATGGGGGTGTCAGTGCCATCGAAAGGAAGATGCTGCTGCAGTTACCAACCTGGAACTGCACTTCAGGGGCATTTGCTGCTTTGTATCAGCAAAGAATCTTGAATCTCATTTCCTGATGGATTTGAGCATGAGAAAGAATTCCTTAGCCTGTCTGGCACCTAGGTGTGTACATAGCAGCAGCTGGTCACATCCTTAAAAAGGGAATAATGTGCAGCAGGAGGGGGGGGTCATAGGTGGGGTTGTTACAAAAAGCAACCGATTTAGTGCAGGTTTGCTTATTTACAAAATATCTGTAATAATAATGAATAATAATGTGCTAAGGAGCAGCAGTATCTGGGGAAAATAAGGTTTTTGAAATCTAAAAAAATACGCTTAAGGCATCTGAAGAGAAGCACTGTGGCCTAATAAATGAAGTTAGGAAGTTCTTTTAGCACTTGGTTCTAGTTTGTTCTATTTTTCAAATGCAGGAAGCAATGCCAGAACTGAAGTGTAGGAACTGTTGTGTAGGAAGGGAGAGAACACATCAGTTCCCATCTGCACAGCTGTCCCTGCAGCAGCAGCAGCAAGGGGGGGGTGGAGTGTGCATGAGGCCTTAATGAAAAAACCCAGGAATGTTCTGGAGGGGCAGAGTTCATGTCCTTTGTTCCTACCCACTACAAACCCCCTTGGTTCTGGGATGCTGATGCTTGGAGGTTTACCTATGGAAATTAAATCCATTTGAACAATGCCAAGAAAATTCTGAATCTTTGTTCAGTGTGAATAATGTAAGGTTCAAGAAATCTGGCAGCCTCCCTGTCCTTTGATAGCTTTATCTCTTATCTCCCCTTGAACCTCAGAGAGGACTGTGCTTCAGTGAGTGTGTGATCCGGGCCCTTGGCATTCTTTATTCCAGGGGCAGCCCCACAAGCAAATCCTGGGTGCTGTTACATCCTTCTCTTGCTCCCTGGTTCTGAAACAACCCCCAAAGTGCTTATGAAACACAAGCTGTACCAGTCACAACAGCCTATTCTAGAAGCTGCCTAAAAATCAAAAGTAAAGAGTTTGCTTTGCTTTCATTTTTGTAGATAACAAAGCTGATTTACCTGGAATAGAACAGCACTGATTGAAATCAATTCAGTGGGAATTTCAACACCTATTTTACAAAAGATTTTACAACTTCGACAAAAGACTTAATCTAATAAAATGATAAAAATAAAACCTGCTTCTGTGTCAGTATTTTAAGAGCTGCACTCTTAGTCACTCACAAGGATGTTCTGAGACTACAGACAACAGCCCCAGTCTCAGAACATGTTCTGCCTCATGAGAAATGTGCAGGGAAGAAGTGCAAAGAAACTTTCCCAGGTAAAACCCCAGCCTGGTAACTCTGTGCTGCTGCTCTGCTTTTGATAAAGCAGTAAGGAAAAATCCTTTACCAAACAGATGGAGAAACAATCCTGCACTGCTCTGCACTGAGAGCAATGACATACTTGGAATTCCAGCACAGTCTGTTTACACATGGACCAAACAAATCTGCATTTTTTAAGATGAGAATAAGGACTACTAAAAAAAAGTTTCCAGCATGGTCAACAGTGAGCTGCTCCCCAGAAAGTTCAAGGATGACTTTCTGTCATCACTCCAGCTCCTAAGTCTTGTCCCCATGGACTCCACCTGAAGGTGAGGGGTTTAATGGCACTCTGAGGATGATGCCAGGCATTCAGTGCCAGCTCTTCCTGTCCCTGCTGCCAGAGCTGAGGAGGTTCTGTTACTGAGCTGAGATTTTTCTGAACCAACATAAGCGTGACCCATTACAGCAGACATGACAGCCACACTCTGGTGCCCTTTGTTTGGCTTCCACTGAGCAAAGTACTCCTGTGCAGCAGTGAGCCAGAGCAGTGCAGAATGAAGGGATGGCAAGAGCCTGGGGAGTATCTGCTTAGGAACAGTTAGAGCAGAGATTCACCTTGTGTCCCTCGGAAAAATACCCCAAAACAGCTGAAGCTTATCAAAAATGAAAGCAGTGGTAGCTCCTTTGCTCTATCCACACTGTAAACTGCTACAGATAGTAACTATCCCACTGGAACAATTCCTGCTTTAATCACAGCAGCTGGGAAAAGATTCTGGGTAAAACAACAGGACAGGCAGCAATACAAAACCATTCACCTGCTTTAATTTTAAACCACTACTGCAAACAAGAACTAGCAGGAACTGTCACAACAGAATCAAAATATTTACATCCACATTTGTCAAACATTTTAAGGCCTTTTTTCTTCCAAAAGGGCAATGAAAAAACCATGGAGGTAGTGCTAGCAGACAAATGCAAGATCTACTGCATTTCATCTTTTAGAGACAAATTTGAATACTCCTCCCAATACAGCAAAGTAAAACAGCACTTTCCAAAATAAACAGCTAATGTTAAGACAATGCCAGGCTTTAATACACCATTTATTTTAGATAAGGTAGTAAACTGTACAGACTTCTAGTATGGTTTCTTTTTTCATATATAACAGTGTAGTTGACTTACCAGATCCTCACACTCTTTAGGCTTTTAATACTGTTGAGGATCTGGGCCCAAGGGTAATTTCATAATTCCATCCGAGGATGGAAATTAAAGGTTTTATACAATTATTTAACACCAAATGGAGCAATACTAATTTACATTACAGTAAGTCAGCATACAGTAGTTATGCTATAGCTGTTGTCTGTGAAACATGAACAAACCTGTCTGAGCACAGCAGGCAGCTTCTAAAGCTCACTGCAAAGGCCATTCCTGAAGGCCCCTTCCAGAGCACAGCCTGACCTTCAGCCCACTGTGGCTCAATCAAACCAGTGCAGCTCAGCACAAGGGCTCAGGGGTGACTGCTCCTGGGGACACAGCCCCAGCTGAACCCTCCAAGCACAGCAGTGACCAGCCCTGCACACATTCCCCACAACGTCCCCTCAGCACAGCCAGGGCTGGGATGGGCTCAGCTCAGCCAGGCAGGCACCAGGGAGGCAAGGAGATAGATGGGGGCTCCTCTAAAAGGAGTATTTAGCCAACTTTCTGTTAAAGACAAACTGAAGGTAAATATAGACAAGCTCAATTAGGCGAGAATAATTACTGAATTTAGGAAACTGCTAACAGTTGGCTGTATATTCAAAAAGAAAAAAATGCTAGATTGCAGGAGTTTTGGAAGCATTTATCTACTGTCACAAGGTACCAATACATCTTTTAAATTACATCTGTGCACAGTTCAAACAGTCTTAAGTATCAAATTTTCAGAGTGAAACTTTACTACATGAAGCCAACTATTTCTGCAGTATTTTATTAATCCAACCCAATGGATTTTATGTTCCTTACCTGTAGAACTACTTACCTCATCATGCATCAAAAACAGTAAGAACAAGAGTTGTCCTAACAGATCAACTTCTGATAAGAAAGTTAAGACAGTGCACAGTAAATAAACTGTATTTTAATGTGTTACAAAAGTAGTCAACAGCCAGACCAGCTCCCCGACACAGCCGCCACCACTCGCTTTGACAAAGGTTTTCTTCCTGCTGAGGTGGAACAGCTTTCCCTGCTCTTGTCTGGGTCTGTTTTGTAACACAAATCCCATTTACATTCGTGGTTCAGGTTTGCACATACAGGCAGTCTGCATAAAGCCCAGTATCCTTCCAAAGCCTTTAGGGCTGGTCAGTCACACCTGGAAGAGATTTATCTGCATTGTCATGTGGATCATGTCACCAAAATGAGATACAAAAGTCAGTTCCAGACACTTGCTTTAGTAACAACCAAAAGACATGAAGACAAGAAACTGAGCAAGAGCATCAATGTGTCAAACTTTGAGCTAAAGCAAAAAGCAGAAGTTGGCTGTGTTTTTTTTCATTTGCCAGGTAATCTTTTAATGACGAATATAAAAAGACTGAAAACATCTCACTCTGACTGCCTTTTGTTTTTTAGACAAATGGTCTGCTTTTATAATTACAATATTGTGTAATACAATACTTCCTTTGTACTGCAAACCGACAAATACAAGGATGCAATCAATTTTCTAAGCATCTCTAAATTTGAAATGTGAATTGCTATTTTTTTTTCCAAATTCGGAAACTTCTTAATAATTGTTTCATTTTTGTTAGAAGATAACTCAAAGTACAACAACATCTAGACCTGTTTTTAAAGGAGCTGTCTTTCCTGACACATCTTTGAACATAAGCACTCCTTTCGAGTTCAGTACATTCACAAATAGCTCAATTAAGAACAGTATCACCAATGAATTGACTACTGGAAAGAGACATAATTTACCAAACATACAGAAATATAAGTTTTACCATAGCAATTATGCATATCAAAAGATGACACCTGTAATTAATCTTAAAAAGATACAAAAAAGAGAAAAACCTGAATTACAGAAAAGAAAGTCATATTTATTTAATGAAAAACTAGAAGTTAATAAAAATTAGCAAATACACAAAAAATATACACAAACAGCAGCAATACTATGTAGTGACTTACAAAGGGGGGGTGGGGAGGAGAAGGGGAAGCAGCGGCCAGAGACCAGACCGCTCAACATGGCTTGTCAGTCAAAGGGGGAGGAAAAAAACACAAACAAAAACACGAAACAGTATCCTTTTCAACAGTACAATCAATCTACAAACAAGTTTTAGAATTATTTTACAACATTTCCTGTAGAATCAATTCTTAATACAAAAGATGCCCATTTTGGGTGTATATATATTTTCAGTGGTTTACTGTTGACTTATTTTAAATATATTAGTTACTACATGCAACTGCTTCCTGTAATTTAACAGCCTTTCCTTTTATTTACCTTCATTTATGTCTACCCTCCATCTACCAAATAATTTGTCTGACAGTCAAAGATGGTTACCCTATTTCTGCTAAATTAAATGCAACGGTTTTAAACACTGGCCTGAAGAGGTTTGATTGCCATTTCAACACATGGATATAGTTACGTTGATGCCTAAATTGCCATTTTCTGCAAAGAGCTGTGCAATGCTGGTGTCAAAGACTAGACAGTCACTATTCATAATGGCTGTTGCAATTCCCTCATGAATGGATCGAGGAGTTGCTTCCCAAGTCAATCGCCGCCTATGCCCGTTTAGCTCGAGTCGATAAGCAAAGTTTTCTGCTTGCTTGCGCGTTCCTATCAGCTGTACAATTGCAAAGAACTGCTGGTGACCATCATACTTTTCCTGTTTCTCCAACACTAGCATGAAATGAAAGCCAAAACAAGACTGCATCATAACCCAGTCAACAGCACCAGGAAGATTAATGTCCGTGGCCAGGAACACTATATCTTCTCCCTGCAGCGTCGTAATTGACTTATGCTGATGCATCAGGTGCGGCATTACAGCATCCAGAGAGCCTTGCCATTTACACGAAGCACCGGGACAGGGACAGGAGTAAGGCCTAAACTCACACAGCTCCTCATGGTCTGCTTTTTCTGTGTGTGGCAAAGTTATCTCGCAGCCGGAAGAGGCGTATTTACACGGGAATAGTACGGAATTGGCAACTTTCTCCATGGCCAGGTTACGGATGGAGCCCAGCGGGCCTCGGCAGGTGGGGCAGCACGTGAGCTTGGGGCGACAGTTGCTACAGACCAGGTGGCCACTCTGACACTGCAGGATGGGTGGCAGCACATAGTCAAAGCACACGGGACACTCAAAGAGACTGGCCAAGTCATTGTTGGAGGCTGTGGTGCCCGTCAGCGCGGGCACCCTCTGCGATGGCGTGCACTTGGAGGTACCTGTGGGTAGTGCTGTAGCGGTCTGACGGCTCATTTCTGCAACACAACACAGAACACACAGTTCAGATCTCACCACACTTCACTGCCATGCATACAGCACTTCTTAACTCACAAAGCTTCAAGAGACAGTAAGATACCAACGAAAGCAAAACCACCCACAAACCACCCCCAAGTACTACAAACTGCACATCGGTATGTGTAGAGCCGTTGTGCACAACAGCACAGACACTTGCACGACATCTAAACAACGAGTGAAGAAGTTCTGCTCATTGTTCTAAAGTGGCATTTACCTACTGGAAGCTGCAAGGGAGGGGAGTAAAAACATGCTAAAAATAAGATGTTTGTTATTGTTGGTTTGTTTTTTTAATATTGCATTTATGAAATGCTTCACCCAGATCACTTCAACTTTGAAGTACGTATCAACTCTGTGTACGGAACAATTCTAAGCTGTTGTGTATGAGAAATGAGGCATTTTTAATGGAAAAAAACTATCTTCTGGATGTGACCTTCTCAGTAACCGTGCTTACAGTGTAATTTATTTTTAAAAAGTTGAAAAACACAGCTCAGACAATTACTACCCTACTTTTTTCCCAGGATAGGACAGTGACTCTTCATTTTCATTACTTTGCTACTGAGGCCCACAGCTTGTAAAGCACAGTCACTGCTTCAGCTTCCTTAACTAAACCATTTGGGAGAATACCAGAAAAAAAAAACAAAAACCCAAAGCAATTACTTTATCTAATTTCCCGAATAAGACCAAAAACTCAAACTTGTTAAATTTGAGAATTCATTGTACCATGTAAATACTCAGACATTTTCAGTCCCTCTTGATGAAGTTCTATGTTCAGTGGAGCTCCTACTGAACTTCTGCCCTCTCCAATGTCCCCAGACAAAGGTGACAGCTGTTTGACCAAACAGCTTGCTCAAGCATTCCACAGATGTGGAACAAGTACCAACCATATTTCTTAACATGTTATGTTTTCCTGCACTTCTAACTCTCCTCCTTCTTGTGGAAAAGAAATTACTAGCACTATCTGAAAAAATAAACCATACCTTTGTAGGTAAAGGGCAGTTAAATAAAATGCTATCCAAAATTGGCTTCTGTTACACAGTACAATTCTCAGCCACCCTAAGTGCCTCTCTGCGAGTACAACCAGCTCTGGATCTGTCACGTACGTATAAAGCTCTCAAAATAAACCTCATCTTTAATCTCCTTGCTATTTGACATGGGAATATTAGGCAATAGGCAAGCTTCCCATATTTAGCATCATTTCACCCACAAACTTATTCATACTTGGACCAGACAGCTCAGAGCAGCATACTGTGCATGCTTTTGCAAGACATGCACTGTTCAGGGCACAAAGCAGAGGAACTAAGAGATCCCTCCTTGCAAAATGACTTAGTCCTTGACATTCAAAAAGTAACGAGAGACAGACACGTCCAAATTCCTCTACAGAAGTACCTCTCCCCAGAGCTAGAAAAGTATGAGTGTCTAAGATATGATTCTCAGACACTGATTTTATGAGTCTCACAAGTTCCACTGCCAGCATCTTCCTAACCCACCAAACTCTTCCTTCATCTCAGTCTTGGTGGTCTAGCAATACTTGGGAAAAACACCCATGCAGCAGTTTTCAGTGCTGGGCCATAACCGATCCTGCAGAGATATGAGAATAATGTTTGTGTCTTTTGGCTCCATCTTCCCACTATGAGGCATTCCAGCTTAGATGAGAAGTTTAGGATGTCTGTGACAAATCAAGCATGTGTCCTGGGGCAGTGATGCTGCACCAGCCAGGGGACTGGAGCAGCAAGGCCTCTGCCAGCTGCCCTGCTCTGTGTCCCAGCAGCTGCAGGTGGGGGGCACCCTGCAGCTCCAGAACAAACCATCGGACACGGGACAACGAACCAATGCTGATCACACTGAGCGCTCGGGAACAGCTTAGAAATAACAAGCATATTCATATGTAAAATTCTGGAAGAAGTTTCCCTTCAAATATTGCAAATACACACATTTCAGAAAAAGCTGTGTGTGCTTCCTCTTGCCTGACCCTGTACATCCTGATCCAGGGATCCTCCACAACCTGCAGATAAGGCTGGTGAAAACCACTGCGTCAGACCAGTTCCCTGGGCAGCCTGACAAGCTGGGTGAGCTCTGCTGTCTTTAATTACACCTCGCTGAGCCCGTGCAACAGTTAAATGAAGCAACCTACCAACTTTGTGAAAGACTTTGTGCACGGATGCACTTCCCACCTGAGCTTTCTAAGGTAGAACAGAACTGTGTTAGCAGTGCCCCTGTGTGAGCAGCCTTCCCGCACACCTTCCACAACACTCAGAGGAGCGGCACTGGAAACGAGGAGGAATCTCTGAACCAGACCACTGGGATTAGCATGCAGGAAAGACACTGCATAAGGCTATAAACTGTAATTTACCAAGCCTAAACCTGCCCAAAGCCTACATTTTCATCACTCTTGTTAACACAAAGATGAATAATACATCTTTTATGGCTATCTCAAAAGTTACAAGTTAATCACAAGCAAAAGTTTTAACAGTGGAATACATTTAACCCACCAAACTATGAAAACAATACAATTAAAAACCCAGGAAAAACAACTACAGAACTGGAGATAAAGTTTAAATATATTTTTGGTTACAAATCCCTTACTCCAGGTAAAAAAACACTTATATGCAATATTTGCTATTTCATTATCTTTATTTGCACACGCTAGGAACAAGTTTCTAAGCAACAGGGACAAACTAAGGAACACTAAGGTGTCGTTTTCAAGAGTATTAGGTCCTTTAACTCCAATTATCAGAAAGACTGTACATATTCAAAAAGATTTACCCAACAGTAAGAGTGAAAAGGGGAAAACGCATCTGAAGATTTCCTAGCTCTAAATCAAGAAAAGCTGCTCCTGGTAACATCTAGAACGCACCGACCTGTTGCTAAAAGCATTCTCGACACTGTTGTGGGAAAGGTGGCATGCACAGGTTACCGAGACCTCCCGCGGGACACAACTCAACAGCTCCTACAAGCCCAGCTCTAAATACTGCGCATAAGGCAATGCAAACGGCGCTACCTTTCCCCTTGCAGGTTTTACTCCCCGGCAAGCACGCAGACCAGACGCCCTTCCAGGAGTACGGCCCGCTGGAGGCGGATCTGCCCGTCATGGGGCGCGGAGGAGCTCATGGCGCGTCCGCGCAGCACAGGCGGGCTCGGGCCGCGGGCCGGGCGGGGACGGCGCCGAAAGCCCCCGCGACACCCGGGGGGCCCCGCGCGGCGCCCGGAAGTCACCGCCCCGGGCGGGGCCCGCCGCCCCCATGTGCGGCCGCGCTCCGGCCCCGCGCCCCAAAATGGTTCCCCGAGCTTCCCCCGGCACTGCCGGCGCGGGACGGCCCCGCCCCGCCCCGCCCTTCCCGCCGCTGCCTCCGGGGGAGGACGCGGCTCGGCCCCGCCCGCGGAACCGGGAGCCGGCCCCGCCCTTCCCGCGGAACCGGGAGCCGGCCCCGCCCCGCCATGGGACCGAGATCCGGCCCCGCCCGCCCGGCCCGGCCGCTCCGCACACGCCGCTCCCCGCATGCCCGCGGCCCGGCCGAGCCTCACACGTGCGCACGGAGAAAGCCCTCGCCTCCCCCGAAATAACTGCTTGAAAAAGCGACAGCCTCCATTCAAAACTCTTCTAGGACATGAAAATCACTTCCTCCTATTTCAAGGATATTCCTCAGATGAGCATTTTTCACTACGGATCTGTAAAGTCCTATTCAACAGGAATTTTCTCCATTTGTATAAATATTATTTGATTAAGCAAAAGCATAATCTCAAGGATGACCAACAGAACTAAAACAATGTGGCATATCTGATTATCTACTTGGACTAAAAAAAAAATTAGAACAGTTAAAAGGATAAAGCAGTTGGAAGCCAAGCCAACACGTTTGCATGAGGCACACGCTTTGCTCAGAAAAGCTTAGACATTATGGAACGCTGATGTAATGATGGTAAAGTCATGGAACTAACAAGTTTCAGTGGAGGCAACAGAACAAACACATGGAGATAAACTGTTGTGGTCACATAAAAAGTAAGGCTACAAAATCTGAGTAAAGATAATTATCTTTAAAACGCTTTCCTACTATTTGAAATCCAAGTCCTTTTCAAGAAGACTTTTATCAGCACTGCAAATAATGCCTACTTGCTACAAAGAAAACCTGCACACTTGATACAAGGCTTCCTTCAGTCTCACCCGCAAACGTGCAATACACAGCATCCCACCTGGTAAGAGTCAAGAAAGTTTACAAGCAGAACAGAAAAGCTGAAGAAAGACTGCATAGAAACAGCTTTTGAGGAACTAAGAGCATGTGGGAGGAGCCACCCCTCGTGTGGCAGTGCCCCAGAGCACAGCCACCGGCCCCAGGCTGCAGCTGCTGCTGCCCCGCGCTTGGCTGGCTGCCCCGTGCCTCGGGACAGAACCAAAATCCCGGGGGAATGGAAGGCACAACCGAACCACAGGTTAGAATGCTCTGCTGAGGCACAGGTGCACAGAAAGTAGTCTGAAGAAGTTGAAAAAGATCGTGTGCCGCATGTGCCAGGGAGTTATCAGTGATAAACAGGACTAGACTGATTCTCTTCCACTTTCTCACCTTACCAAGGCGTTAGCACCACACACATTCTAGAAATCACATCTGTGCTTCACTGGAATGCAGGGCACCTTTGACAAATTCAACTTAGCATCATCCACTTCTCTCATATCAAATAGCACATCTTCTCTCATATCCTCACCCATATCAAATAGATTAGACTTGAGTTTAGCATTTTAGCTAGCTTTTGAAAGGGTAACTGGATATTAGTTTGGGGGAAAAAAAACACATAAAAGTTCTGTATAGTCATTGTAATGGCTGGAAGGGAAAAAGTCTCATATAAGAGTAAAAAAAGGACGGAAAAAAATTTATCACAATTGTCTGTATGTGATGCAACAAAATTTTTTCTGTAACATTTCAAAACTGAGTTCAGGAACTTCCACTCAAAATCCACTCTTAATGCATTACAGCCACCAACAAAGTAATAGAAAACCTTTCATTTTTTTCAACAGTACATTCATATTTGAGAATAAGACTTTTTTACACACAATACTGCTAGAGAGCACTGGAAACGAGAATAGGATGAAGTTGTGAAAAACATGCACAAGTTACCTTTTTCAAGACATAACACAAGCCAAAGAATGTCAAAACCCAAAAGCTAAATGAAAGGTTGAAAATACTCATTAAACATATCAGAGAAAATATTGCCAATATTTTTGAAGAAACTACTATTTTTAAATTTATTTAATTTCAAAGACATTTTAGGGCCCAAGGCTTTGCCTTTTGCAGTGCATCAGTTTCTCTTTCCCAGCTCTTGGGAGATGTTGGATCCCAAGGGCCTGGCATGGTTAGGATCAAATGCAGGCCTGGACACACATGTGCACCCCTGCTCAGACACAGCCTCTGGACCTGCTGGCCTACTTCAGAATTTTTACAAGACAGCTCATGACATAAATTATTAATCAACTATATAATACAATTTAGTCTCTATACACTCTGGTTTTGACTAATGAATTAGGATTTTTTTTCAAGCCTTACAGACATTCTTTTCTTTGGTGCCCTTAACTATGCTATTTGTTTTTTCAGACACCTCAGGGCTTCTCTTTTCCTGCATAACAAGCAAAAGCTAGATCAATCCAATGTAACAGACTACTATAAAATGAGACCGAGACATTCCCTACCAACCCCATTTTCCAACCACCAGGTAGGGAAATCCCAACAGATTTCTATAACCATGGAATCGTCTTTGTGGCCAGCACTGCAGTGAGTCCCCAGTCCCTGACACCCCACGTTTCTGACGTGTCCCACACATGTTCCTCATGATCCCCAGCAGAGCCATGGCAGTGCCTGTCCTGACCCTCTCGAGTTCAGCACACCCCACGTGGCAGATGCAAACACAAACACAGCCATGGAAACACCAACAGCACCGTTACACCCCCAAATCAGAGTGACCTACTTCTAACTCAGTGCAGACACCTGACTTGGGTAGCACTGATTGACTTCTGCCTCATTGCTGTTGCTCTCTATTTCTCCTGTGGAGTTATGCTGGAATATTCAACATCAGCCCAGGAGAGGTTTTTCCCTAGCTGTTAAACATTTTCTTTCCAACAACTTTATAAGCAAAAATTAGGAAGGAACAGTATCCTGTAGAAGACATACAACGACCACATCAAAATCACTTTAGTAACCAACTACTATGACCAAAGTGTTCCATTTTAAATGCAACAAAGAACTTCATCAATTCCAACAAGTGAATAACCTGTTCTCCATTCAAAGAGAGCTTCAACATCCACCTTTGCACAGAACACTGGAGCCCAAGCTGCTATGGTACTCCAACCTTGTGAAGGAAGACAAGCTGAGGAACAACATTCTGTGAAAAAACCTGATAAACCCCCAGATTTCATTCTGAAACTATGTACAGCTGAACAAAAATACAGGGAAAAACCACTCTTTAAATACAAAACAAAACCAAACACTTGCATTAGAAAGATCATGGACCACTTCCACATTGGATTTATCAAGCCATGTACCTCTGCTCTCCCCGTTTCTCCCCCTTCCAGCCCTAAACCTCTTACCCCAAAACTTGGTATTTTAAAGAGAGCAAATTCTGCTCATGAGCTGGGAAGTCGACTCCCTGAGCACGTTAAAATGCCTGAGTTCCCTTGTCCACAATGCCCAGGCCAGGCTGCATGGAGCATTTCCCAAACCCTGTGTCCCTGCTCTGACACCCAGAGCACGTGTCAGCTTTTCAGAGAGCAGTGATGCCCAAATGGCCCCCAGTCCCTAGGGGGTACACAGATTTGACTGTATTTTTCTTTTTTACAAACAAGCTTGTCTTGCTGTGACAGTGCCAAATCCCACCAGCAGAGAGGTATGAAGCTGGTGATAGAGAAACACTGCTCCAGGCTGTGCCCTGCACTGCACCTGGTGGTGCTGTCTGACAAGAGCCTTCTCTTCCCTCCTTCCCCAGCTCTGTATCCCCAGTGCCAGGATCAGCAGGCAGCCAGTGGACAAAGCTCTCCTTGCCACAGGACACCCAGAGCTGCCCCCACAGGGACCCCACAGCATCATAACCACGGGATGGACCCAACCTGGCATTTGTGCCCCAGGAGCCCTCCGAGAAACCCAAAGGAGCGTGCCTGCCTGCAGCCGGCTGTCTCAAAATAAGGATGGCAGAAACCAGAGAATCTAAGAAACTAAAGAAAATTTCAGATGAAAAATACAGATAACTCTATGCAAACTAAGTAACAGGGAAAAGATTTTTATTTTATTTTCAGTAATATCTACTTTCTGTTCACTGTGCACAGAACACACTGAACTGAGCTGTATCAGAATCACCCTTCAACATTTCAGCCCAGTAATATCTATAAACACAGGGAGACAGCTACCTTTCTAAAAGTTCTGGACATACAATGCTGCAATAGAAAGTAAGGCAGGCACACAGAAGGATCAGCTACAGAGTGAACTAGTAAGAGCAACAGAAAAGAGGAGAGCCAGGTATTTTTCATGCTCTAACACATACTGCCATTCAGAAGTCTCTAGACAGGAAGCACTCAATTGTTCTACAAGGCATCATAGATGGGCTCTGTATACAATTACACTCGATTGGATTTTTTTTTAAAGGAGAGAAATAAAATAACCAACCCCCTGTATAAACATTAACAGCAAATCCTACCATGTGTGTCAATTTGGGGGCTGTGTTTCTTTCCTCAGTCAGATTTTGCAAACCCTTCAGTGCATGCTGTAATTGCCATGCAATGTTGCATCACCATTCCTGTGTCTGTGGCAGACACAGGGAGGAGGGTGTGGCATGGAAGCTCTTACCTGAATTCAGTAAGGCTCAGCTAAAAGAAGTACCTTGTCTTTGATGTGTCTTCACTTACCAAGTCTTTCTGTGTTAACTATTCCAATTCAAATTCAAGACCTATTTTATGCTCAATATTTTTCCTGCATAACTTAACAGTAGTATGGAGCAGACCATCAAAATAACTAGACCTAATCAGAGAGACCTACAAATAAAGACTGCCCTACAGGAGACTGACCCATGACACAGAAAGCCCCTCTGTAGGAGGTCAGGACAGGATGACATACATTGACTACTTTTATAGAGATGCCTCCATTTGTTAATTCCTTAGGTTTGTACATACTTCCACTTTAAATAATCATTTCTTCTTGGGATCCTTCACTTGTTCTGTATTCCTGTATGCAGCCCTGATGACAGTGGAGCCTGTGTAAGGTATGGCAATCTAAACTCAGGAGGGCAAATAT